GTCTATGGAAGGCAGGAGTAAGCTCCACATGTATTTTTTAACACCGATAAAACATTTTATCTGAAGGGGAAAAAATAGTGATATGAGTGAGAGAGATAGGCAGAAATTGTGTTTTATATTAGCTTTGCTGTACAATACTATTAACGATGGATGGGAATGTCCTTTTGTTAGTCCAAAATATGCAATAAAATCCACTGCAAGAATTTTATTGATATATAACATTGTCTCAAATACCTCACTGAAAGACCTATAAATATGATTTGCATGCACTTTATGTCGACACATTTATGGGACTAAGCCTTCCGCTGTTGAAATCAATAGCCACTCTTCCACTGAATTCTCTCAGAGTAGGCTAAGGATATGTCTCCACTATGGGGGCTATAGCAGCATAGCTATAACCTCAGGTTATGTCTACACTACAAGGTTTTTGCACAAAAACCGGCAGAGTGTCCACACCTCAATCGACAGAACAGAAGGCTTTTTGCGGTGTAGGTATACCTCCTTCTACGAGGCATAACTCCGTTTTGCTCAAGAGTTCTTGCACAAAAAGGTGTGTGTGCAACAAGAGCCTATTACAAAAAGCACAGGTGGTCTGATGGCCATTCTGTGAATGGCAATCAGAACTTGTGCAAGAGCATCTATGCAGTCTGGACGCTCTCTTGCGCAAAAGCACATCACTTTTGCGATGTGCTTTTGAGATGAGAATGTGCTTTTGCTCAAGAAGTTTTTGCGGAAGATCTCTTCCACAAAAGGCTTATTGTGCAAAAACCCTGTAATGTAGACAAAGACTCATAGTATAGAAGCAACTAATAGCAAATAAAGGCTTTTTCCATTGTGGTAGAACTCCACTTCCCTAAGTGACAATAACTAGATTGATAGAAACAAAAGACAGGAGTATGCAGCACTTTAAAGACTAACAAGATGGTTTATTAGGTGATGAGCTTTCATGGGCCAGACCCACTTCCTCAGATCAAATTGTGGAAGAAAATTGGCATGACCATATATACCAAAGGGATACAATCAAAAAAAGTGAACACATATAAAATAGACAAATCAGATTTTAGAACAGAGGGGGGATAAGGGAGCAAAGTTAATGTCTATGAGATAATGATATTAGAGGTGATAATTGGGGAAGCTATCTTTGTAATGGGTAAGATAATTAGCATCTTTGTTGAGGCCCATTCGTAAATTTGATTTGAGGAAGTGGGTCTGGCCCACGAAAGCGCATCACCTAATAAACCATCTTTCTAGTCTTTAAAGTGCTGCATAGTCCTATCTTTTGTTTCAGCAAGACCAGACTAACATCTCTATTACTAGATTGACAGAAGCATCTTTTCAGTGACTTAGCTGTGGCTTTTTCACACTCTGACACTATAGCTACATCAGCTTAAGTTTTAAGTGTAGACCAAGCCTCAGGCACTTACGTCAGCAAAACAAAGGGTCCAACCATAGCAGATGCTTACCACTGTCAGCGTCCATTGAATATAAAAAGAGGTGAGGGGGTATGTAGGTTCTTGCATGGCAATTTCGAGATTAGGATACTGTTTGATTCAGTATTAGATTGATGCTTGTGCTATTTTGGTTTAAAAGAAGAAATTACATTTATGAAAAATATATACAACCTTCCGGGCATATAAACATTTGTTACTTTTAAAAATAAAGGAATAAACTTCTTTAGCAGGTTTCTTCAAGAACTTAATTAATCGAACAGAATTTCTTAAAGTTTTTATGATTAGTTTATTGTTTTTAGTATGCATATATTAGTATGCTGTGCATAATAATGTATACTAAGCTTTAAGCTACAGGTAAGTAGCAATACATGACAAAGGTGTGTGTTTGTTAATATATATATACACCTTGAGTCATCTTCTGTCTTAGGGCCTGACTCGCTGTCTTTTAAATCAATGGCAAAACTCCTAAATAATGTGAAGCACTGGAATCTGGGTGTAGAATCACACCTACAAATGGAAATTGGATTAATGGGACTAAATAGCAATTTGCAACTATTTCTTTGAAAAATGTATACTGAGATATAATAAAATAACTCACAGAAATAAGATAATTATCTGCATGAATAGCGCAAAATAATGTCAATAAATATTAAGGCAATTAAAGTTGTGGGCATAATTTTGCATGCCTAAAATTTACTCTGCACTGTAGCTGGATGTGAAAAATGCATGTGAAAAAACAAAATCATTCCCAGTGTTTGAGATGCTGTTTCTAAAAATATTTCCCTTAACAAAGGAAGACGGTAACATTCTATATATTTATTTTTTAGTATGTTTCAGCATAGAAAATTTAATTAGCTATATATATAAAAAAATCATTCTCAAGTTCCCCCCAAAGACTGCAGTTTAGTAGAACAGTTTTTCTAAAACACTGATTTCAAAACATAAACATCCACATATATAAGATCAAGAGTGAAATCTTGTTACCATCAGACAGAGATGCTGATGTTGACAAGGACATTCTGAAGGTTTTGTAGAAATGAAATAAATATGCTAGATTCCCAGCTTGTGACCAATTCATGCTCTATCGTCTCAAACCATAAAGCAAGATATTAATTCCCAATAGTATAGGAAGGTGCAAACAGCATCTCCCTGTGCCAGCCTAGCCCTCTCTGTTCCCTTCCCCTCCACCCCCCCAGAAAAGCATAATCTATTAGAAGGCAGGTAGCAGTATCTCAAAGTTTTTGGCAGCAGCTTTAATTTTGACTGGAGGTCAATAGGGGTTTGTTCATGGGGGATACGTAGGAGTTGCCCTAACCATATTCTCTCCCCAGTCAATGACATGCTGCAGATCACCTGACAGAGGGACAGTGACTGGGGCTTGTGTCTTTGCAATTTGCTTACATAGATTTCCTGCTACCAGGGACACTCTGATAGGACCTGGGCTGGAGGAAGCCAGCATAGAACCTCAGTGAATTTCACACAGGCTCCTGCTCCTCCTACCTAAAGGCCTGCTCGCACCAAAGCAAAACCTGTGCAAATAAGTAGACGGGAGCATGTAGTTCCTTAAAGGCTAATTCCTGACCTGATTACACCTGCACAAGTCTCAGTGAAGTCGAAGGAGGCTATATAAAAAATACAGGAATTTTGCCTATAAAAGGGCTATAGGATCAGGTCTGAAACACTGTAACCACTCTGTCCATGGGATTTGGGCAAATGGCTTTACTAGAAACAATAGTTTTGAATCACAGATAAAGATATGAAATGAGAAGTATTCAAACTTACAGTATATATGGTCTAATTCGCATCATAGGCCTAGCAAAAATCCTTCCATTCCTGAAAGTATCACATCAGAAAAACATTAGCAAAATGGTTCTGACAGAAAGAATTCTCAGAAGAAACATCTGTTTCGTTATTCAAATTCAACTCACACTAGGAACGTAATTAATTTATCTGGTCTTTTCAACCACACCATGTGATTTATGATTCATCTGATGTGTTTTCTGCTGTGAGACAGATAAGTGCTCTTGCTTTGCTGGCTACATGACTGGAATGACATATTTGTTGTTTATTCCACATATTGAAATAGGCACTGTATCTAACAGCTGAGGGAATTATCCCTTGTACAATAAAACATGCTTCTCAGAGACACTTGGTATATAAGCAGTGCAGAGTAACAGGATATATACATTTTCTTGCTTATTCACATAGACAACTCAAGTGTAAATTGATCCCGAGGATCTGGATATAGATAGTGTCCAGCATATAGAAAATACTTGAGCAAAGTATCCTCTGTATGTGTCCTGTGAAAGGACTCTATGCATGTAGAACCAAATTTTCAAAACCTTGTGAAGGCAGATATCCTGTTTTGTTGGGTGTATTTTGGGACACAAACAGGAGACAAGGTTGGATTTTCAAAGGGTGCAGCAACTGTAATGTTCTTAAAGATAAGTAGCGGGATATCCACAAGCTAGATATAGTCACGGTGTAGTGAGGTGTAAAGTGGAAGGTGCATGAGGAGGTCCGATCTAATTATCCATTTCTTGACCGCTGGGCCAAAAGAGCAACTATTGATAGTAGTAGTGAGGGAAGATGAGTTGTGTGGAAGTTGAAAATAGAGGCAGGCACAGTTTATGGGTAGGGGAGGCTTGGGAGAAGATAGCAACAAGTAGTTTTCCTGGATCTGTTTGTTCAGAGGAAGATGAGGGAAAGAAGTGGAGAGGCAAAGGGAAGCCACTGGAATCAACCCCAATCTATCTGCCTTTGGGTTGGCATACCCTGTGTGGGGTGCTTTTAGATGCACAACAACTTTCAGATTATTAATATACTATTGGCATTTGCTAATGACCTGTTACTACCCACACAGGCCAATATAGAATCAGTAGAGGAAGCAGCACTTTCATAGTACAGAAGCAAATACACTGTCAGTACACTATCCTTGCCTTAGTGGGGGCGATAATGACACACAACACCAGATGACTATAACATTGGACAGTAGATGGGAATTGCTCCTTTCCACTGCTCAGAAGTTCTGAGCATCTTCTGTAATGAACATCCAGCCTGGGAGTGCTCCAGATAAATAAAAAAATAGAATAGTTCTTTATCAATTTGTGTTGTTCAATAATTCTGCAAGCACTCACTTAGGCAAAAGTCAAGGCTGAATAGGACTACATACAAGGGCCCTATTTATGCTATGGTGATATCAGGGAGGGAGGGGACTTGTGCAAGTGGGCACCTCCCTTTTGAAATCAAGTTCCCACATCCCCACCTATCACTAGTCATGCAGCAGTAGTACCCAAGGGATACACACAATCTGTAGAGGAAATGGGGAATAGAAGTTACCCTGGGAGCACTGGAAAAGAGTACACTGGTTATTTTTTCCATCAACAGGGTTTGGGAATGGGGCTTAGATGAAATGGAGTGTAACAGAACAGATATATTGTACTGGGCTCTGTTCCTACACTGCATTCTTCAAAGTGATAGCTAGCACTACTGCACATCAGTTTTTTAGCATGATTTTAAAAACAATTAATTCCTCCCTTCCATTTGTAGCACTTGCAGAGCTTCAGTATCCAGGAAATAGTCTTCTGGCAGCAGCTGGAGAGTGATGCCAGTTGAGTGTCCTTAAAAAGTATGTTTGGTGCTAGATAAAATGTGGAATGTTTTAAAAATTGCTAAATTGGACAGTAGCTTTTCCCCATTGGTTAATTTTGAAAGGTTGGCCTGTTTTTTTTTTCTGTTTGAAATAACTGTTTTAAAATTATTAATAGTAATTGTGGTTCATTTAATTGCACAGTGGCCCATTTTTTTTCTAAGGATGTCAAGACCAGCCAAGTGGCACTCTCAGTCCCCTCTGGGCTGCAGAAATTAAGATCAGAGGGAACAAGGTAAAGCCAAGACCTACCAAGTGATACCTATCCATGGGCCTAGACACTGAGGGAGAGGGAACAAGGAAGAGCCAGAACCAGCTGACTGGTGCCTTGGCTGACCACTGGCTTTTAGCTTGGCACATTGAGCCCCTTGGAAAATCCTTGTGCTGTGCAAGTGTCCAGACCCTGTGAACACATGCCTTGGACCTAACACTCTTGTCAGACCTAATTTACAACTTGCTTGTTCAGGCTGTAGTTCTTTCAAACAGGCCTCGTTCTGGGCACACAGAAAATCACAGGCCAACAGGTGCTTCTGCACATGTGCAGCTGGTCCTATAATAATTTGGCCTACATCGTGCAGAAATAATTTAAGCCCGTCTCATTGTTAGATGTGGAACAGGAAAGGAAAGTCTTCACAAAAGGTAGAATAACACCACTTACTGTCTTAGCAGCAGCCTAAGTGCTAAACAGCTTAGAGCTAATGGTGAAGTTTACCACGGAGCCAGTCTGCCACATAACCAAGGAACTTTCCCAGAAGACAGCCACAGGCTTTTTTGCCTTAGCTGGAAATATATATATTGCTCAGCTTGGCTCTAGGGACCTGCCACTGCCAAGTGTGCTGTGAGTGAGGATATGAAAGCTGGCTCAGTAGATAGAACAGATGAAACAGAGGCAAGAAAAGTAGGATAGCATCGGAAGAACCATCGCAGGAGTAAGCAATGGTAGCTGATATACCCATATTATCTATATTGCAGTAGCGCCTAATCTGCTTTTATGGCAGGGGTTAACTCATTGGGCCAAGTTTTCCCTTGAGTTACATTCAGGCACAGCACTGAAGTTTAGGTTAGGGAAAGCCTCTATTTTATGGATTTAAAATATTTTTTTTTCTGCACAGTCCTAAAAAAATAAAAGTTTCTTTTAAAAATAATGAAAATATATTTTAGTTAAGGCAAAAATACTAAATATAAAAATGTAATGTTATATTTAAAATAACTGCTAAAAAGTTATATGAATTGTTCAGTTACATTGACTTTCAGTTATGGCACATTACCGCTCACACCATGAGAAATAATGGTGTGCCAATATACTCACATGGTGGTTTAGGAGGGCAGCTCATGAATTTCTAAACAGAAAAAAATCTGCTAGTAAATGACATATGAGTAATGTTCATGCACTGTGTTGTATAAGTTGTATGTTACAAGTAAAGCAGCACAATATATTCTGTCTAATATAGCATGTATGCAGTAAGTTGTTCTTCATTGTAATCAGATAATTCTCTGCTTGTAAAACAGGAAACATTTTTCTTTTTGGTTACTAATAAGTATATATTACAATGGGAAACAGTATTTTGATTTTCATCAGCTCTATCTACCTCATTGAGCTGCATATTATAACATTCTGTACTAGATCATGAACATGTGCTTGCAATTGTTTTGAGAAAGAAATAAACAAGTTAGACTGCATTGACTGATTCCAAATGAGCAAATGATTTTTTTGTGGAGAAGAGAGAGTCTTTAAAAAATACATTCCTAGAGGTTTTTTAAACTTATTTTTTGCAACATGCACATAAACTCATCTAGTTAATGTTCAGTTTATCATCATCATCATTTTTATGGACAGTAACGAAGAAATAAAATTATTTGTCCAAGTTTTCAACTGGAAAAGCATGCCCTTGTATGTTACTCACAGTAGCTAAATGCATTCATGTACTTTTCCAATTATTTGTGGGTTGTAGAGATCCAACATTTCAATGCCATTCTTTTAAATATCACTTTAAGAGATCCCAAAATAACAATAAAAAAATACCAGACCAGGCTTCAGCAGCTAGAGGGAGAGACTGCATCATGTTTTGGCAGTGACTGGTACACCGGCAGCATTTAATATGAGACGAATAAAATGGCAGCAAACTGGTCAGCAGCTTCTCTTCATCTGGAGTTTTCCCAGGTAGTTAATCAAAATACACACACACATAAAGCTGCAATAGGAGCAGGCAAAAGGCCTGACTCTTGCATTGCTTTGATGAAAGTAAACTAGGTTGGTTTTCTTGGAGCACATCACTGTCCTGAAGAAGCAGACAGACATGTAAAATCTCCAAAAATGATCTTCAGTTGAACAGCTAGGGATAATGATCACTGTCAGCTACACATTTTGTTAACTTGTAGGTTCAGCTTCAGTTAGCCTTATGATGTATTCACCTCATTGGAGTTTTGGCTAGTTGACATATGGGAGTCCAGATTCTCCGTGCATTTCTCCAGATCATGGAAATAAGGGTGAGACAGAGCAACATAGGCAGATATTCTCTTGGTGGGATTGAACGCTAAACATTTCTAAAAGGAAGAAAATAAGATGGTTTTAGTGTAATGGTTGCATGTATAATTCCCGACTGATATAATAAATAATGCAGATAATATAGATGCAAATGAATGAATGTCATTATATTAATTTATAACTATAATAGCCTGAAAATCTAGAGCTAGTTCAAGTGCTGCATGGACCTTGCATATTTTCACAGGTAACTGCGTCAGACTATATCACTATTTCAAACAAAAACTACATTAAAAATACTAAGGTTGCAAAGTCAAGTCCTCAAACATTAGAAAATATCAGAATTACGATTGTCTGTGGAAACTTCATTCAGTATCTTTGTCTATAGGCATTACAATAAAGTATTAATTATATTATCATATACTTTTTTTCTACATGACCCCTGCCTCATTCAGCGCACAGGATGGACCTGATCTGGAGATTCATCAGATTATGAAGGAGTCTATTGTCCCTTGGATCACTGCTTATTCGCTGCAGAAGCGGGAAGGTGTGTAGTGAATGAGGCAGGGGACTGTAGGAAGAAAAAGGATAGTCTTGTGTGTATGCATGAAGAACTGGATTCTATCCCAGTCTCAGCCACAGATTTCCTGTGTGATGGTAGGCGAGTTACTTAAGCCAAACTTTTCACAGGCGGCCACTAGCTGCGTGTTCTTCATTTTTTGGGGTGCTTGACTGGAATATACAAAATGTTTTAGAATGCTTAGTACTCTGAAAAATCAGGCTGTAGATATGTCAAATTGGGTAACCAGAATTAGTGAACACTTTGACTTTAATTTCTTTGTGCCTCCATTTCCCATCTGTAAAATGGGGGATAACAGCTCCTCATTTCACAAGGGAGGTGAAGATAAATTAATTGACGTTTGTGAAGCACTCAAGTACTCTAGCGATGAGTGCTATAGAAAAACCCACAAAGAAATTAACACTTTTGTTTCCAGAGCAAGGTTTGAATAGGGCGTAATAAATAAGGCCTGAGGCCAGACATTGAACCATGAGGCTAAAACAGAATACTGTATAGTCCCATCCATCCTGTGCCCTGAATGAGGGGGGGTAGGGGAAATGTGATCATGAAATTAATTCAGTCCCCATTGGTCTTTAAAGTTGCACAGGCAACCTTCCCATGCTTAGGCTCCTCCAGGCCCAGTCTTGTCCAAACCGCTGCCACAGTCCCAGTTAGTCTACATTCCTATGTTCCAATCTATTGCTTTCCATTTCCCAGGTCTGACTCTTGTCCCTCGTACAATCAAGTCAGGTGGCTTCCTCCTCCATGCTGTCTGTGCACCAGATTGGGAGTGGTAGGGATGGGGATTTCACTGGGAGCACAAGAGAGAGAAAATCTTAATTCAGGTGCCTAGAATCAGGACCAGCCTGCTCCACAGCAGCCTGCCCCACATTTTCTCTAGCCCTGGAGTGGCACATGCTCAGTCACTTAGAGGGGATGGTGCATGTACAGTCTTGTCAGCACTAGGAGCTGAAAGGGGATGCAGCCTACCCAGGGCAGATGGAATCTTAAGCCAGTGAACTCAAAGAAGTCCCTACTGAGCAAGTGTGAAATGAGATTTTTCAAGTGCTTATATCTTAACCAAATTTGGACACATTTTTACATGAATAGGAAAAGGAACGTCTCTGACACAAACATCCCTGACAAATTTAAAATCTCTGCTCCAAGTCACGGACTGCTAGAGCATCTCAAAGAAAAAAAAATCTCCAGAATTTTTTAACATTGCAAACCCATATATTTTTCTTTAGCCTTTTTCCTGGAAATAATGGAACCATTTTGGCTGAAGCTTTCAAAAAAACAAAAACAAAAAAACCCACAACCCAGTTCAGCTTGACAGACAGACATCTCACATAAAATAACTTCTGCTCAAATTGCTGAAGTCTGACAAAGTTATAAGCAACTGAAAAAGAGTCTTATAATATGAAGTATTAATAGTAGGCAGTGCTGCCTGCCTCACTTATAATAAAATAAGTTCAGAAAAATCCAGTATTTCATAGCTATTAATCACCTTATATAGGCCCTGCATTTTCTAATAGGTTTCTATGAAAGGCTAGCAGGTGTGGGGATAGAAGGTTAACTTAGTTGTTACCAATCATGAGTACTTAAATAAATTATTTATTCAAATCTTTCCAACATATTTTTTTTTTTTATGACATCCACTAGAGTGAGCCACCAACATTTGTAGACAATCTCACCCCTGGATGGCATGGTTTCTGTATCCCCTTTAGTGCCTAACCCACAGTGTGTGCAAGTCTGTTACAGCTCCCGGCTCCAAAGCTTGACTCTTTAGCTCAAGGAGTAGTGAGTCAAGCTTTTAGCTCTGTAATTCCCTGCACCCCCAATACCACTTGGATGGTAGTTCAGAGAATATAGATTTGCACAGTTCACCCCTGAATTCAGCTCCACTAGGTGCCAGTGCAACCTCCTGTTGTTCACTTATGTCTCCAGAGGAGAGATTGAGGAGAAAAAGAATTTTTGTTTTGCTGCAGTAGCCCCTGCACTGCTTATGCATGCCCCCTGTGGCGGAAGATAATTGGCGAGTCTACAAATGAGGGTCCCAAGTTATTGGGCTTGGCACTGCACAGAACAGATGCGCCACACATGTGGCCTACCCACTGTGCACAGCAGTTTTGGTACAAGTTCTTCTGTAGACAGGGCTTCTGTACCTTGGAGGAAAGGCAGTTCAGACTATGGAATCAGTCAGGCTCACCACTAATATTATTCAATTAAAAACATTGTTTTTGATATGTTGCAATGTGCAGTAGATGCAGTCATTCAAAATGTGCTTGGAGAATAAAAAATGGAAACCTACATGAAGTAAGTCCTTGCCTAGTTCATCGATGTCTGGTACAAAATTTTCAATGGGTTGTGAGGGTCTGGAATTGAAAGCATGTCTTGGAAGGGCAACATCACTAGGCCAATCTTCTTCTTCCGGGAGCCCAATGACGCTGTGTAAGGAACAAGCATACAGATTACCTGGGGGTGAAACCACTGTATGAAATGCTAAATCCTGCTTCACATGTTTTCATGAGATTGCCATTTGTTCTCTTAATGTGGGGCTACTCAACTTTGGAAGCCCAGGGGCCACAATGATACTCACAGCACATACGGAGAGCCACAACTTAAGCGTGGTTGCATGTACATGCAAATATATGCAAATAACTTCTTTCACACCGACAGGCATGAATACAAAGATTAAGGCAAGACTACATAACACACAGGCCCCATTTGAGTAATTTCTGCTGATATTAATAAAATGCAATATTTACCTGATTTCCACCCATCTGATAGCATTTTTAATGAGCAATGACAGTCCAGAAATTTAATTATTAAAACACATATGAACAGAAGACCATTATACTGACTCGCCATTGTGGAGCGTGTTCCCAGTGGAGGCCATGTTCAAAGGATCCCACCTGCAGGCTGTGTGTTGAGCCCTGCATAAGCCCAAACTGCACCACGGGCCACAAACATGTTGCGGGCCACGTGTTGAGTAGCCCAGTCTTAATGTAAGCAGCAGCATTATTCAGGATCAAAGAATAATCTATGCTATGCTATACTATACTATACTAAACTATACTTCACATGCACCACAAGGGCCAGATAAGCAGCCCCTGCATGCACTAGCACTTCACTCTGCCAGATTTAAGACTGCTTATGAATTTCCAGTTACCACCTTTAGGATTGAGAGGTCCTTTGTCCCAGGATCAGGCCCAGTATTCAATTATTCTGTGGTTGGGAACCCTGATGTGCACAGATGCAACACTCACTATAGGAACTCTTGTATATTTGCAAATATAATTTATTAATACATGTAGCACAGTCACAAACACCCCAATTTCATAAGATAAATAGGGAATGTACATCTATATTTCTATACCATATATTCACACCATTTTGTCTAGAACAACCCGAGGTGTTAGCCATCATCTTCCTTATCATCTGCACCTTCCCCATCATCACCAGTGGCCATTATTCTGGGACATCCCACGGACTACATCTCCTTCTCCAACCACCTGTAGGCTGGGATGCCACTTTTATCATCTGTTAAGCTGATGTTGTTATGTTTGGTGCATATTCAATAGCGGATGTTTTCTTTTCTCCTTTTTTGTATTTCCTCACATTACTAATGGTGAAGTGTCTTTTTCCAATAGGGCAATATACCACTGATCTCAACTTATTATCATATGCATCAGTTCGTTACCATGGGCCTTTTGTGCTTGTCTATCACATTTATTATTTCTGTCCTACCCAGTTATTCGGTCTGGTTTCAACCGTTTTCTTAGTAATAATGTACTTGCTCAGTTTGAGGGTATTTTTGAAAGCTCCTATTCCATGGAAAGTTACCACTATCTGTTTAGGTGAAAGGTCCCGAATATATGTGAGCCAACTGTACTGTCTAGGTGAAAAGTCCCAGACAAAGATACTAACTTTACCCTAGCTTAACATACAAGACGTGTTATAGCTAAACTGTCAATATAAACCTATCACAACGTATTTTAATAAACAAAACCATAAAGGAAAAATAAATTTATATATCTATAGGCAAGCACGCAGGTTAGCCCTACTGTCTACAGTAAGTAATCCTAGGATGATGATCCTGACAAAAGTCGTTAAGGTAAAGACCATATGATGGGTTGCCCCATTTAAGATACTACCTGCTGTACTGGGGTACCTCCAAGCCTGCCTGTTTTGTCAGCCTGGACACCTTTTTACCCTGTCTTGCTAAGCCAGGCTCTTTAGCATCCTCTAGCACACACACAGGCTGGGCTTCACCCTGCCTAAAAAACACGAACACTGAGATCAGTTCTGGGAAGTGTCAGGTTGAAGGACTTACCTCAGTACTCAGGTGTCCACTGCCCTTAGGGCATGTCTACATTGGGGAGTTACTTTTGAAATAACAAGCCCATTATTTCAAAATAACAGGCTTGATAGCGTGGACGCTCACCTTGTTATTTCAAATAATAACCCCTTCTTATGAAGAGGAATAAGCTTATTTCGAGAGAGTTATTTTGGGAGTTATTATTTGAAATAACTTATTTTGAAATAATCTCATAGTGAAGACACAGACTTAGAGTGCAGACCTGAAGATATATTGTGAAATCCACTCTATTCCTCAATGTGGAAGAAGGTATGCACAGCCTCTTCCCAAATTATGAATTGTACAAACTGGGTTTTAGAAAACAAAAAACAAGTGTATTAACTAGAAAGAGTGGATTTTAAGGGAATACAACATAACAGACTGAGCAAAAGAAACAAAATATGCAGAGTAAGATTAATACGCTCAAGAAACAGGTTACAAAATGTAATTTCTTACCCTACATGTTATTTTAGGCAGGTTACAAAGTTCCCATAACTTAGAGTTCCAATTATCTTTTCAGACTGGGCCCCTGTCTCAGTCTGAACTCCCCCCATTGCCTTCTCTTCAGTGTCTTCTCTTAAGCAGCCTTTCCTCTTGGGCAGATAGACAATGGAGTAGAGTCCCATTTGCCATCATCCCCGCCCTTTAAATAAGATTTACATAAGGCTGGAATCTTTTGCTTTCCAAACTTGACCCCCTTTCTCCTTTTAGTGGAAAACTGAAAGAAGTCCAAAATGGTGTTTAGAATCAGGTGACAGGACCACCTGACTTAGCAGTGTAACAGGTACAGGAAGAAGAGAGATTAGTATCTTTAGTCTTGTTGTTTCTTCCTTTTGGCCCATCAAGGCTAATGGCCCATTTTCTGAACAGGGGGTCTCCCAAATACATAATTGTTACATAGTCCATATTCCTATCTTTAGATACAGAAATGATACATGCATACACAATGGATAATCACATTCAGTATATCATAATTTTTCCAATGATACCTTACATGATCCACCTTGCATAAAACATGTCTAAAGTTATGCCATATTCATATTCTCACAATATTTCTATGAAAAATATGGGGTGTAACTTCATAGAGCAGGACAAGTTATTTAATTTCCCATAATTAAATAACTCAGCTGCTTTAGGATATTTTCAAAAGCATTTAAATGTACTTAGGCTCCCAAGTCACACTGATGCTTTTGAAAATTTTACCTGTAATTTTGTTTTGTATTCATCTTATCTAGGGGGGCCAACAAACTTGCAAGGTGGAATGGGGAGGGGCTCCATGTTCCCGGAAGGGGTGGGGCTTCAGGTAGAAGGGGTGAGGCTGGAGGCAGTCAGCTGAAGAGTGCGGTGACATAGACCCCTCAGAGCCGCCCAGAGTGCGCCATGTAGGGTTCTGGCAGCAATTTGGGGCTCCAGCAGCAGCAACTAGGAACCCTGGGGTCTTCTGAATCGCTGGGCCCTTGGCAGTTGCCCCCTTTCACTCCTCCGTCAGCAGGCCTGATTTTATCTATATTTGGAAAACTAATATTTCTTCTTCTGTTCTGAATGACACAAAGCTTCTGTTTATGAAATGAGCATGCTAATTTCTAGAAACATGGATACATGAAAATAGCTGAATAGTTCACATTTCTTTTAAATGTATAAAAAAATCCCCAAGCCTTTCTTTATGGATCATGTCTCTGCACATTCCAAGCTTCAGCCTGGAGTTAATATTTCTGATAGAGCTATAAAGTGGTGAAATAAGGGTTTGTAATGGAAATGCTGACAGAGAGCCATTAGCCAGACTTTACATACCAAATTCTAGCCAGAGTCAATTTTACAGTTCAATTCTACACATCTTAAAATTGAGATTTATAATGAAAAGGGGGACAGACTCAGAACTCTAATACATGAAAACTAAAGCTCCTTAAAGAGTTTGGACTTTCACTGGAAATGCCACCAGGGTGCAGCATTGTCCTTTCTTTTTATAAATAGTGCTTAGCAATAGACAAAGAAGGAAAATTAGGACCCAGCATTGCTCTTGTTTACTCATAAACCCTGAGTTACTCCGTTCAAGTGAATGCATTATCCCAGATTTCTACCAGTCTGAGAGCAGAATTTGACCCTCAGTAATTAAAGTACTGCTACAAACTGTTATGTAATAAAATACAGCACAGACAGGAGTGCAGCACCACTTAAATCTTGTGGCTATTTCCCCTGGCAGTATCCAAAGACTGCTAAGCTCCTGCCGAAGAGAGAATCAGGTCTCTATGAAAAGTTAAACTCAATTGTTATTAGATGACCACGGACATGCAGGGAGCTTTACTTATAAGATGGATGACAAATCCTTCCCTGAGGATCTTGCAAATTCTTAGCCATGAGAGTATCATTACATATGTACACAGTCCCATTGAACCCAGTGAACACACTAATGTGAACATAAGCTTATGTGCACAAGTGATCAAGACTTAAATCCTCATCAGATATACAACACACAGTGTGCAGTGAGAAGGGGAGGAGTTCATAGAATAATCATAGAATAATAGGACTGGAAGGGACCTCGAGAGGTCATCGAGTCCAGCCCCCCACCCTCAAGGCAGGATCAAGCTCCGTCTACACCATCCCTGACAGATGTCTATCTAACCTGTTCTTAAATATCTCCAGAGAGGGAGATTCCACCACCTCCCTTGGCAATTTATTCCAATATTTGACCACCCTGACAGTTAGGAATTTTTTCCTAATGTCCAATCTAAACCTCCCCTGCTGCACTTTAAGCCCATTACTCCTTGTCCTGTCCTCAGAAACCAAGAGGAACAAATTTTCGCCTTCCTCCTTGTGACACCTTTTTAGATATTTGAAAACCGCTATCATGTCCCCCCTTAATCTTCTTTACATATGAGTTTTTAAATGGTAATTAAATATATATATTTGTTATCTTTCAAATATGTCTAGTTAGTTCTGAGTTTTCTTTTAAGGAGACTAGGACTGGGCACGAGAGCACAAACAGGCCAGATTGGATGCTAGCAGTTGGAAGTTAGTGGCAAGAAGTGAGGAGGCTGCCTGATGCCTAGGAAAGGGGGGCTGTTCCAGGCATAAGGGGCAGTATTGGGGGGAAAAAGTAGAAAAATGGGAGTTGAATTTTGTCAGATGGATGTTTACAGGTCCTAGAAAGCATTTGGAGATTGTTTAATATACCAGTGTCTGCCTGAAAGCCCTTATTACCATTTGGGGGACCAAAGTTCTGGAGCATATTGAAGGAAGCTATTTTACCCTCTCACCAAACCAACAATACAGTAGTAGCAATAACAGTAAATATTGATATATGATGGTAGAATCCAAAGAGCAAACCTGACCCTGTGGGAGGCTGATAACTTTCCATTTTCAGTGACAACATGAGTTGAGTGTGCTCAGTACCCCCCGGCATAATGGCCTTAAATTGTGAGCATACTGTATATTGATGTCGGTATGGGAAAGAAGGGCAGCATTTAGGTTGGACATTAGGAAAAATGTCCTAACTGTCAGGTGGTTAAACACTACAATATATTGCTCAGGGAAGTTGTGGAATCTCCATCACTGGAGATATTTAAGAGCAGGTTAGACAGACATCTATCAGGGATGACCTAAACCGTGCTTGGTCCTGCCATGTGGGCAGGGGACTGGATTTGATGATCTCTCAAGGCCCTTCCAGTTCTAGTATTCTGTGATTCTAACTTCTACAGATCCATTCTCAGTCTTTGTGGAAAACACCAACTAATGTAAAAGAAGGCTACACATATGGATCAAGAATAGAACATGGTCCAATTATTAAAAAAATGTCAGTCCAGATTGTAGGCCAAAAACTTCCATCCAAATTAGCCTAGAGAATGACTCACTACTATAGTAGGCAACAGTTCCTTTATAAAGTCCTGGCCTATGCCTAAATGTTGGGGGTCTACAGCTGTGAAAACAGAAAATAAACACTATCTGACATAAAAAAGTAAGAAGCATTTGAAATATTAAAGGATAATTACACAAAAGAGGCAAGGCAAATTTTCTTTTTAAGTGCAGTATGTAACAGAGAATTTCTTCTCTCCCCTAAAATTGGCACTGTATTTTTGCTTCCTGATTAATGGCTGAATTCTTTTCTATCCAGGTAATCTCACCCAGTAGGGAAGGATAGACAGTTCACTAGAAGAGGCTGCTGTTGGTTGCTATGTTTTTAATCCTATTCCAATTTATTTGTTTTGGGTTTTCTTTTTCCTGAAATGTCATAAACAATGTAGAATCTTTAAAAAAACCCACAATCATACTTTTATGTTATTAAAATATGCTGTAGGTATCAAAACACTCCTTATTTAATAGAGCAGAATATAAACTAATCAAAGGTACAATTTTGCAAAAACTTGAAAAAGCAAACTGGGGAGGACTAATTGTTTTTGGATTGTGTAGGAAGGGCTCTTCATGGGCATGGCAAATTAACCACCCTCGTGAGTCACATACACTGGTATGGTATACAGGAAAGGGAAGTCAACTGAGTAAAAATCAAGACCTGCAATTTGGCAATTAGGAAACTTCTTTTAAATTATGAAAATCTTCAGAAATGGATCTGTGACAATTTAAGAGCTGGAAAATTGACTAGAAAAACAAGTTCATTATTTGACCTACTGGAGCACTTTCCTTTGAAGCTTTATTATCTTCTCTCTGGAATTTCTGCAGGACTAGAAGGGAGACAGTAACCCACCCCCCACTCCACTTCCCACCTCCTTCTCTTCATCTTGGTCTTTCCCTCCAGCTGTATCCCTGGAACTCTCTTCATAAGAAAGGGGAGAACAGCAACAGAGGTTTTACGAGGCATAAGGGATCTATCGGAAAAGGCTTTCTTTAGCGATAGATCAGCCTTTAGACTGCCGCTTTTCTCCGACAAAGATCCGTGCCGAAAAAAAGCCACGGCCATCTTTATGCTAATGAATATAATGATATTTAAATCCCCGCTTCATTAGCAATTTTGCCCAGCCTAATCTGCATCCCTCTATCAGCAGAGGGGTGCAGTCTAGACATACCCATATAGTGCAGGTACGGAAACAGCCATATTCCTGTCTGATGGTCAGGAGCACTTTAATATTATTATAAAACATTTATATTGGGCTTCAATTTACATGATACGTTCTGCGACCACATCAGAAACATTCCTTAGTATGAAGATAATTTAAGTTACAACATCAGGGAAGTGATATTTTTCTCACTTATCTGAAGCAATGACTTTAAAATGGAGAATTTTTATTCAAAAACACACTCGGAGGGGAGTAATTGCTTCTTTTAAAAGTTCAGAGTTTGTTTGAGAGGAACAGCAGTACAAAGAAACACAATTATAAAATACTTTTAAAATAAAAGTAAATTATGCTCCCTCCAAAATAGCCTCCATTTAACCTTGAAACTTTACGTTTTCATAGCTGTCTTTAACACCAAAACATGATTTCTTAATCATCTTCATTGGCTATACGGTACAGCTAAAATACTCCTTTCCACAGAAGCTGTTGATCAACATTAACATTTCCCTCACTGAATAATGAGTATTTTTGAGGGATTCTGGTTACACATTTTTTTAAAATTCACAACTGAACAAAATATTGGAACTCTATTTGGCTTTATAAGGTAATTCTTTCTTGGATGCGCTAACTTTTCAGAAAATGTGTGAATGGTTCATGAGGAACATTTAACAAATTAGAAAAAACCCTTCAGAAGTCTATCATTGTCTTCTTGGTATGACTGTTATTTCTATAAAACTATATTCTCTGCAGCTTCCTCCTCCCTCTTTGACATATAATACATGGAAATATCATATTTCAGAGCAACAGCAATAGGAAATACGTTATAAGAATACTTTGTTCCAATCCTTTTACTCCATAAAAACATGGCAAATAAATCTTCAAGCTAAACAGACACTGACATAACGCTGCAAATTAGTACTTACTCAAAGATTTTTCCTAGCTGATCAACATCTGAATTTCCACGAAAAAGTGGCCTGGAAGAATAAAGAAATACAGTTAAGATTTCTTTAACTAAAGTGAACTTGTACTTGTCACTGAAAGTTTCCAACCCCCCCACCCCAAAACCTGTTCTTTTGCCAAATGCTCAGTTGTTACCCCTTAATGTTTTTATTCAGTCTGTAACTGCACTATTCAAGGTTTTTCCTTGGGTTGGTAACAAGACTTTGAGTTAATGGATCAAGCACACCCACACACGTTACTTCTGAGAAGTAACTGCATCCTTTAACATGAGTAAAATAACTTTATTTCCTATCCCTTTTAAAGAAATCAGCTTAAGAGTAAATCAAGCCATTGGTTGATGAATAAATAAATACGCCTTATGCAGGCAACATTAAAAAATGCTTTTTAGAGAAAGAGTCATTCAATGCATTATAATAAAATAAAAGACTGATTTGCTAATGATATATTTTAGAACTCAAATTCCTCGGGTATTATACTGAAAATGTCTGAGCTTTGGGAATCAAGTGGAAACAATGGGCTTAAAGGAATCTGTAAAATGTGGGATGTAGAACAGTGCAGAATTTACCTTGAAACAGAGGAAAACTTCTGCTGCATAAATAAAGGTATATTTAGGAAAAATTAATAATCTTGGCCTTCTATGGTTTGTTAGAAGCAACAGTGACTAAAAAAATACTCACTCTGAAAACAAGTAATCTATATCTGTGTCCTTTTAAAACACAATTAAATTTTTGTTCTTCTGATATTTTAACATACAAAATACCTTCCACCTGTAATGGTATATTTACTAAAAACAATGTGCAAGTGACTGTACAGTAAGAGATGTAACAAACATTTGCATGATATATATTAGCCACATGTCTTGGCAGCACAATAAAAGTATGATCCATATTGTACCCACTTTTATGCCTAAAATTCCAAAAAGATTTAAAACAAACAAGCAAATTCCTGATAATTTAGGGTCCTGTCCACCAGGAATTAGGGTTGCCAGATGGTTTCCCAAAAAATACCAAACACGTGCTAAAAATTTGTTGAGAAAAAAACCAAAACCCTACCACCACAACTATGCTTAACACCTCCCCAGCCACTTCCCCCCCACCAGGCTTCCGCACGCAACCAGCTGAGGTGAGGGCTCCCAGCGCTGATTGCAGCCACGCCTCCCTAGCCATTCTCCCCACCCCCACCAGGCTTCCGTTGGGTGCCCAGCTGGAAAAGCAGAAAATACTGGACATTGTACATGTCCAGTATTTTCTGAATTTTTTTTACTGGACAGAGGGCGCAAAAACCGGACTGTCCGGTTGAATACCGGACACCTGGCAACCCTACCAGGAATTTACACATCTTCCTGTGGTGAGCAGGCCACTAGTAGCTGTGTAAGGGAGCATAGCACAACTATATGGAGGGATACAGTAGGATTAGTGAAAGAAGCATACTGTAGGGACACTGAAAGCAGGGCCGGACCGAGCCATTCTGGTGCCCTGGGCAGACAGGTTAACTGCACCCCAGGTTGGGGGAGGGAGCATGCGCAGGCCCACCCCCTCTCGGCACATGGGGGAGGGCGCGTGGAGCTGGCGGCGGCAGGACACACATGCCCGGCCCAGCCCAGCCCGGCTACCACCGCTGCCGGGGCGGGGCGGGGCGCCGTGGCGGGGGGGGAAGGGCGCTGCTGGCTGGCGCTGTGGGGATTAACGCGGCCTCTGCCCCGGGCCGCCGCTGCAGGGTGGCCGCTGGGAGCTGCTGCAGCCTGCGATCCGGGAGCTGGGCGTGTGGCGCCTGATGGCAGTTATAAGGGGCACTGTGTGCCCCTTACAGCTGCCATCAGGCACCCCCCATAGGTTGGTGCCCTGGGCAACTGCCCAGCTAGCCCATGCCTTAATCCGGCCCTGACTGCAAGGAATGAGTTTTTAGTGGTGTCAGCTGACAGCCAGGTTGCCTCTTGCTTCAGAATGTCTAACTCCCAGAATGCAATGCAGATTATAAAGTTACAGTGGCAGTTTCCACAAGATAACACAGTGTAGCATTTTAACTGAAACAGACTTAAACTGTGCATATTCTGATGCCTTCAGTAGCACCTGGGGACTGAGCTTTCCCCATGACCAATTCTCCTTCCCCTTCACTTGTCCAGCCTTTTGCTTCTCTCTCCCTGAGCACAGTACCGCCACTCCAGTCAGTGAGATATTAACCATTTCATGGTTTTAGTTTGACACAGAAGAACTCTCCCATCTGTACTGGGAGATAAAGGGTCACTTGGCCATACCCATCCTCCTCCCCAAACCACAGGCACAACAATGGGAGTAATCTGCACTGTTCAAAAGGCATGTTTCTCCCTGCCTATGAGTTAATTCCTGGAAACATTGTACCACCCTAACGTGCAATACTTCTCAGAGCTCTCACTGGAGCAATATAGCTTCATTCACTATTCATTTTAGGGCTCTGGCTCAATTACACAGTCTAACTTTACGTTTTCAGATACAAAACAGACCCAAGAAAGGTAACCTATCTCTTCTAAAATGACGATCACACAAAATACATGTCCCAAAAGAAGACTGTAACACTCAGAAAAAGAATAGTAAAGGAATGACTGTAAAATGTGCAGGTCATCTTTCATGTACCATATGTGCATTCTACTTTCCTCATGTTTACACATGATGTCACATCAGCTTAGACCAGGGGTGTGCAATAATTTTTACGGGGAGGTGGCACTTCATGAATATTGGTATGTGGTCACGGGCTGGCTCTGAGCCTCCCAGAAAGGGCAGGGCCTCGGGTGTAAGGGATAAGGCTGGGGGCCTCAAAGAGAGACAAAGAGTGTGTGAATGTGAAAAAGAGACATTGTGTGTGAGAGACAGACTTTGTGACACAGACTGAGTGTGTGTGACACAGAGACTGGGAGAGTGTACGTGGCAGTGTGTATGTGACAGTGACTGTGTGAGTGTAGCACAGAGACAGTATGGGTATGTCTACACTACAGCACTAATTCGAACTAACTTAATTAGAATTAGTGAATTCGAACTAAGCTAATTCAAATTAGTGCATCTAGACCTAAAAACTAGTTCGAATTAGCATTTTGCTAATTCGAACTAGCATGTCCACATTGAGTGGACCCTGAACCGAGGTAAAGGATGGCCGGAAGCAGTGCCGGCAGGGCATCAGTGTAGGACTTAGAGCGTGGAGCTGCTGTCTCAGGCTAGCCGAGGGCTGTGCTTAAAGGGACCCGACCCCCACCCCGGACAGACAGTTCTCAGGGGTTCCCCGCTTGCAAAGCAGTCCTGGCTTGGATTGCCCGGAGTACCCACACTGGGCACATCACAGCACTCGGCCATCAGCCCGGCTGCACTTGCCGCAGGTTGCCATCTGGGGAGAGGGGGCAATCGGGGGGCTGCAGGAGAGCTTCCACCCCCAGAAGCCCGCAGAGCCAGCCCAGTCCTCCCCATCGGGGGCTCGTACCCCATTCCTCCCTCACCTCCTTCCACTTACCCTTCC